GATGTAGTGTTGCGCTAACCTTTCTAATATAAAATTCATCCTAACCGGTAAGAAGTGCGCATACTTGGTTAACTGGTCTACAATCTCCCATATCGTGTCATGCTTACGTCTCGTCATCGGTAACCCAATTACAAAATCCATAGTCACTCTGTCCCACTTCCACTATGGTATTTGGATCAGATAGAGTAACCCCGAAGGAACATAATGTTCCGCCTTAAATTACTGACATACCAAACACTTCGCTACAAACTCATAAATATCTCTCTTCATTCTCGATCAATAATACAACGGTCGAAGTTCTTTATACGTCTTATTACTTCTTGGGTGAACCGAAAGTGGACTAGAATGAGACTCATAAAGAATCTTGTAAAGTTTCTCCTTATCCTCGGCACACATAAATGTCTTCTAAAGTATAACACCTCACCTTTTTACAATTCAAACCCTGGTGCCTCACTTTGACGAACTTGCTCTACACGAGCTTTTATACGACTATATGAATTTTGTAATTTCTTGATTTCACCTACTAATTCGGGTTTTATTTAGAGCTCGGCTATCAAACCCCCATCTCTAGATATACTCAGGTGCGCTAAAAGAGCTCTTAACTCTGACATCAACTTCCAGCTCAAAGCATCAGCTACGACATTTACTTTTCCTGTGTGGTAATCGATAATGCAGTCATAATCCTTTAACAACTCAACACATCCGTGCTAGCGCAAGTTTAACTCCTTTTGAGTAAACATATACTTCAAACTCTTATTGTCAGTGAAAATATGACATTTCTCTCCTTATAGGTAATGTCTCTAAATCTTAAGTGCAAAGACTACTACTGCAAGCTCTAGGTCATGGGTAGGATAATTCTGCTCGTGAGGTTTAAGCTGATGAGAAGCATAGGCGACTATTTTTCCCTCCTGCATTAACACACAACCAAGGTTGTTTATCGACGCATCGCTATAAACTATAAATTCTTTTCCTGACTTAGGTTAGCTTAAATCTAGGGCTTGGGTCAAAAGGGTTTTCATTGGGATGTTATCATCGAAAAACCTTAAAAATCGATGATAATAGCCCACAAGACCCATGAAACTGTGCACTTCAGTTACATTCTTGGGTGGCTCTCACTCAAGTACTGCACGTATTTTCTGAGGCTCAACTCTAATATATTTCATTGCCACGACATGCCCCAAAATTGAAACTTCAGACAACCAAAACTCACACTTCTCAAACTTAACAAAAAGATAACGATCTCGAAGAGTCTGAAGAACGATACAAATGTGTCAGCCATGCTTTTCCTCCGATCTCGAGTATACCAATATGTCATCAATGAAAAACACCACGAACTGGTCTAAGTACGGGTGAAAAACTCTATTCATAAGATCCATGAATGTCGCCACATCATTAGTGAGTCCAAACGACATTATAAGAAATAGTGATTGTATATTGTTCTAAACAATGTCTTTGAATTACCTGCCTCTTTGACCTTTAGCTGGTAATATATGGATCTCATATCTATCTTGGAGAAAACACAAGTTCCTTTAAGTTGATTGAAGTGGTCATCGATTCTTGGAAGGGGATAACAGTTCTTGATTGTCAATTTGTTCAACTAACGGTAATTGATACACATACTCATTAACTCGTCATTCTTTTTAACAAAAAGGATCAGTGCTCCCAAAGGAAAAAGTATTTGGCCTAATAAACCCCTTCTCGAGCAACTCTTGAAGTTACGACTTCAACTCTTTTAGTTTCATTGATGCCATGTGATTGGGAGCAATTGACACCAGAGCGAAACCAAACATTACTTCTATGTTGAATTCTAAATCTCTACTTAGAGGTAAACCCGATAACTCATATGGAAAAACATCTGGGAAATCTCTGACGTCTCAAATGTATTCAATCCTCAAAACTGCAACTTTGGTTTCAACTACGTGAGCCAAGAAGGTTTCACAACCCTAGTCCAACATTCGTTGTGCCTTAAGGGCTGACACAACTTTTGCTCCCTTAGTCTTCTCGCCAAACATAACGATCCTAGTCCCATCATTCTTCTAGAGTTTAAGCCATCGAAACTTACATCTCAAATTTGCATCATGCCCTGACAACCAGTCCATACCCAAAATTAGATCAAACTCTCTAAAGGGGAGTTTCATAAGATCAGCAAGAAAGATCTCTCCTTGAATTTCAACCAAGCATCTATGATGGACTTTGTCTACAAGGGAGTCTAATCCTAAAAGATTGGACACCTGCACTCTTATTTTAAGGTTATCAGTTATGATATTTCTTTCTTGCATAGATTATAAAAGATATAGGAATGAGTGGATCCAAGGTCGATTAACGTAGTAATCGGGAAGGAAAAATATAGTAAAGGTCCCTGAAATCACATCAGCAGTATAACAATCTTCATAGGCTTGGACGACATACTAACGAGTGGCTATTTTAGCTTAGCACTGGCCCAGATCGGGCTGCACCCCTACCAAATTGACTGAAAGTAGAACTCCTACCTCTATGGGGTTTTCTACCCTTTGAACCAATGATGCTGATCTCTGGGTCGAAGGTGGAGTCACCTCCTGTGTCTCCGGGCAATCTCTGACAAAGTGGTCCAGGGAACCACATTAATAATAACCCCTAGACCCCTGCGGCAAACCCGTGGATGTCTCTTGTTGTAAGTGGGATATCTGGGATAAGACTGTGACCTCGAAGAACCTCCTAAACTTACAATTAATATAGTGTACATCTGTCTTATGCGCCAGCTACATCGGTCACCACATCTACTCGTACTATGAGCAGATCTACTAGACTGACCTGCTAAGACTCTCCAAGACCCCTGATAATCTCTTGCTCTATTTGGCTGCTGAGAATGTCCTTATGACCCTATCACTCCTCTATTCTAACCAGATATAACCTCTTCCTCTACTGCTCTCCTCTTTAAAACCCTCTCGATAGCTTTTTCCTGTCGGACTAACTCAACAAACACTCTCGATGGATCAAGAACTAAGTGGGTCAGAATATCCAAATGGAGGCCCTCTCTAAACTTCAGACAGAGGTGACACTCTGTTGACAACAGCTCTGGTACATATTGGCTCAGAAGGAGGAACTTTGCTTCATATTCAAACACTGTATGGTCCTCTTGTGTCAACTGGATGAACTGAACTCTACTTCATATTCTAATAAGCAATCTCAGGTAGGTCACTTTGACTACAGAGACATCTTGACAGTCTCTCACCAGTCTATGGCGTCGTCTTTTAGCAAGGAGATGACACATTCTAGCATACCCTCAGAGGTGAGGTACAGCTGGCGAAGAATCCTAATGGTCTCTTTAAGCAACTAATCAGCTGTTACAGGATCATCGTCTCTTATGTCGAAGAAATATATGGTTCGGTATCTTTGAAGCCTCTCAATTGGGATCTCTTGAGGTGCTACTACAGGTGGAGCTGGCTGAACTGGTTGGGTAGGTAAGGTAGAGATTTTCTGAGGCAGGGCTCTAGCTATACACCTAAGGGTCTCTGTTAAATCTCTAAAGAGGGTCACCTCCTCGACCCCTGCAGCCCTATGCTCCTCAAAGTTTATATCGGGGGAAAATTAATCACCTAGATCATCCGTAAAGGACACCTAACTCTCATGTCTACCTTCCTAATTGTGTTATGGGCTCTCATCCATCTCTAATCTCTAAAATTTAAACAATAAGAGGGGTTACAGTTAATATTTTCAGAAGCAGAAGAACTCTTAACATCCCTAGAGGCATGTATATTCATAAACTTTTACTGACTCTGACCCGCGAGTCTTAGGAACGTCTTAACCTGATGCTCTGATATCAATATAATTATAACACCCTATACCAGTACGACACACAATTGACTAATGAGAGTGCCACACGGAACCACTGGAGTGACTAACCCAAATCTTTCTTTATCATACTCAAAAGAAAACATTTATTAATAATTATTTGTGATAAAATAGACAATAACTTTCATACAAAACAATTTACAGTCGAGAGCTCCCAAAATATAGTTCAAAATGTACATGACATAATTTAAAATAAGTTACGACTCGATATACAAAATAAGGGTTACAAATATACATACCCTTTAAGAAGAAACCAAGACATACTCTGCTCCAAAAATCTAAGTCTGGATCTACTCGACACAAAAGTTCTTCAAGTAATCCACTTAAGAATCTACGCAAGGAAATAAATTCCAAATACTGAGCTAACTAGCCCAGTGCCACACTAACAACTAAACATACTAACAAGAGTTCATTTATAACATGCTCAAACAATTGATAAAAAGGTATAGTGAATCTATTTAATTTGAATCATTAGTGAGTATCCTTGTGATACTTACTCTCTACACTATGGAAGACATCATGGTGTGGCTAGCCCACCCCTTGCGAGTGTCGGACCTTGCGTACTAGTTAGTCAGTTTAAAGTTCCTTGCACACTCCCTAAGGATATCCGAACTGATTCTATACTTTGACACCCTAAACTAAAGGAACTCAGTCGTCTGATTCATTTCCCGAGCATCAAACAAGCCCAGTCTTATTTATCCCTACTTTATCTCGTTTCTATGTTTGTTTAAGCATTATTATTGTTTCCATTTGTAGTCTAATTTGAGAGTAATTATAGAGTTCTTGGGAACCTTATTTCTCTATTATAAACCCCAAAAAATCCTTAACTTAAAATGTACGTTGGTACCGATACTGGCCTTTTAGTATTGATACTAAACTTTTAGTATCAACAATTTGCCTTACATATCGATACTTTACCCTATTATTTCAAGCTTTGAAAAGAATAGTATCAATACTCACCTCTTAGCATCGATACTTCCAAAATAGGGTACCGATACTAAACAGGGTATCGATACTAAATTTGACTCGATGTTTTGAATATAATCTCAGTACCAAGAATAGTACCTATTGCATCGGTTTGTTAAAAATTCATCCTTAGACATGCTGTAATATTAGGCATCTTTCAAGAATATCTATTTTCATTAAAAAAAAGCATTTTTTTTCAAAAGAGATGTAAAGCAATGCTGCCCAGACTGCAAAGCTGTGCTTGATGAGCCTGCATTATGCTTGTTGTGTGGTAGATTATGCCCTTAAGTTGGAAAACATGCTGCAGGTGAATTTTCAGCTCTCTTGTTTTGCTGATTTTGTGCTTACATGTGCATTCATCCACGATTCTTGCTATATTAAATCTGAAGCACTCACCTTTTCCTACAATATTTTCCTTTCTAGTGATAGTGGATGTATGGCTCATGCAATGACCTGCGGTGCTGGTACTGGTGTATATCTTTTGATAAGGGTATTGATCGCCTAGTTACTTTCTTGAACTTCTAACTCTATTTCATGAAAGTTGCTAATAGTCTTTTATTATTGTAATAGAGAACAACACTTTTGCTGCAAAGATGTGCTCAGCAAGCTCCTTGGCCATCCCCATAGTTGGATGCATTTGGTGAAGAGGTTAGTCATTTTCCTTTTATGAGTAAAGATTGTAATAGTTATTTTGTTTGGAAACTCAACCGCAAAGCAACTAAAATAGTTATTGCTAAGAGCGTTACAGGATAGAATGTTGCACCCTCCTGCCTCTTATACTCCTGTATACCCGCGAAGGATGATTGTGATTGTTACCAGTGCCAACTACATAAGGTCTTAAATTTAGTAGGTCTGGAAAGTTCATGAGCCATTTTGGACCTTGCTATGTGTTAGAAATTAAGAAGACAGAGAAGTTGTTTGGCATTTATGTGCCTTAGTTTCTATGCTTATTTCAGACCTAGTGTTGCTAAAGATAAATTAGGTTGATGGGAGAATAACTCATGATGGCATGAAGGTCCAATGCAGCAGTTACTGCAGTCATATGTCCCTCAATGCACAGAGGAAATCAGGCAACTTCATTCTTTATTTCTGGAGTGCCCTTTGATGGGAATATATCCTGAAAAGAAATTTGAATAACTGATATGAAAAAGCCAAAATAGATATTACTACTGAGAATGAAGGATTGTGTTTTCTTGAAATCCAAGGGGGTGCATATTCTCAGTTTCTCACCCTACCCATGTCATTATTTATCAATAAGAAATCATTTAATTCCCCGTGGATTAATATTCAATTTTATGCAACTTGCACATTTTGGATGATTGATTATTTAAGGCTGAGGTACTTGATACTCTGTTTGATGCCAATTTTATTGAAACCCAAGGGGGTGTATATTCCCACCCTACCCAAGTCGTTATTTATCAATAAGTTCTGTTTAGAAATTATATATTTACTTGAAACTTCCATGCGATATCAGAATTCATAATCTGAATTCCATATGGGATGTAATGGCAGTGAATCTTTAAAATATAAATGTGTACATGTTTGCTTTTTATTGTGTTTGTATTTTCTTTTTTCATATCATTGAAAGGGTTTCTTTATGATCAATTTGTGTTATTCTACTTCGTTTTCTCATTTCAGGATATCGAAATGCATAGAGGAAAACCACTGTATACGCTGCTCTAAGTTACATGGTGACTGGGCCTTCTTTTTGCTTTGCTGTTAATGACGATAGTGGTCTTTTTTCCTCCTGGTTTTCATTTTAGTGCTCTGATAGGTCGCTTCTCATGGCCTTGATCGGAGTTCGAAGGTTCTTGGACAAACTACCATTGGTACCTTCTTCATGGTTTAGTTCGGTTTGATGATCAAGCTGGTGATTGACCTTTCTGTTTCTTTTATTCCTGTTTCTATTTGCTTGCGATCATGAATATTCTTGTTAACGTCGGATAAACTATTGGATTCAGGTGACGATGCATTTGAATCAGACATCAAGTGCAAAGAAAATTGCCGAACAATGTTTTTAGCTTCCATAAATTATTGTGCAAACTAAGTAAGGATCTTGGATTATGATGTTGGCATATATGTCCATTATGGCTGGACGTACCGGTAATCAGGTCTGTTTGTTGAGCTTTGTGTGTTATATTACCATTTCTTTTTAGTTTTTAAGTGACAAGCATTTGAAAATGTCGTAACCGGTTTTCGTCCGCGCACGAAATTTTACTCGGCGGGAAAAGTGATGTGAATAAATGGTTTTTAAAATAATTTGGGAGTCGCCATCGGCCTTTTGGGTCAGGTAGGTCGAATACCTAAAAATCATCCTTTAAAAGAGGTTTTAAGAAAACATCGATTAAAAGATAAACTGATCTACGTTTTAACCAAAAATTCGTTCTTTTTAATAATAAAAAGGGACTCGTGGTCGGTTACGTTTAGGGAATGATTAACACCCCTACAACGCCCAAAATTGGTACTTTTTAATTATGAATTGTCTCTAATAATAGATTTTAAGAATTCAAAGATATATTTAACTTATAATATTTTTTATTTCAAATTTATAATTTTATAAAAATATATAAATATAAGAGATATCTAATTATTTAGAAATATCAGAAAAAAGGCTTCTAGGTGCTTTAAGACAGCTCTTTTCTTCGATATAAAATAAATAAATATCAAAATATGATTATTTCTTAAAAGTAATTTATAAAATTAAATAAATAGGATTTTTATAAAAATAAATAAACATATTATTTATTATATATATATACATAATAATAATAATAAAAAATATAAAACATAATTAAAATAATGAAATTAAAACTATAAATAAAAAAACTAGTAATTAACTTAAAGTATTAAAATTAGTGACTAAAATAAAATTATCTTAAATTTGAATATCATATTAAAATAAATTAAAAACATGCATTCGAGATAAAAAAATTAATTATTAAAATTAAAGGATTAAATCAGTAATTTACCTAAAATATTTATAATTACGGTTAAGGATTAAAATACATATATATAAAATTCGAATACCGAATTAAAAGGATCTAAAATTTGCTTTAGTGACTAAAATGTAAGGATTACAAACTAGGATGGCTGCAGAAATGGTTTGGCTATGAACGAAATTATAGATATACCCCTCCCAAAATGGCGTCGTTTGGGAAGGGGTATAAATACCCAAAACCGGCTGGCCCTACGGGCCATTCTCTCATTTCTTCCTTTCTCTTCTCTCTCAAAGCTGAGAGAGCCAGAGTTCTCTCTGGCTTCTCTCTAAAACGAGAGAAGCGGCACCGGCCGGTAGCCATTCGCCTCCGTTAATTTCGCCGCCGGCCACCGTATTCGGTGGCCGGAAATTACAAAACCCACCCCAAATCGAAGCCTCTATTTTTCTATACTCAAATCTAAAGTTGTTTTAGCCTAAAATCTTACCAAAACACGTAGATCTACCTCCGATGTTTCGGTTTCAACGGCGTAGGGAGGCTCTGATGAGGTAAATATCTCGGCTTTTCTCTCTTTGTTTTCTGGTTTTGGCTTACTGTTGGATGTGGGTGATTGTTTATTGCTCTTTGTTTACTCGTTGTTTCTGTTCTCCGTTCGTTTTCTTCTGCCGTGGCCCTCCGTTGTGTTTTTGTAGGATTCGGTGGCTTTTATAGCCACCACAGAGTTCTGTTTGGACCGGTCTTGAGAGGGAAAACCTCAGTGAGTCACCAAAGCTAGGCTGGTGACTCACGGTAGGGATGGCTGTTGGTTGCCATCTGGCATTCTGGAGTGTTCCTTGAGGCGGCGGTGTGGCAGCAAGGCGTCGGCAGCAGCTGGTTGGACCATCTGGCTTGGGAAGTGTCGGCAGAGGCGGCTGTTGGGAGTTCTTGGAGGAGGCGGTAGCAGTGCTAGGGTTTAGAAACCCTAGCTAAAACCCTAAATTAGTTTAGGGTTTTAGTTGGGCTTCCAGATTTGTAATTGGGCCCCGATTTTGGCCTGTTTGTAATAATAATTTAATAATAATATAATATAATAATATATATAATATTAATAATAATAATTTTAATAATAATAATAATAACAAAATGGAAAAAATTAGTGTTTACAGCTGCCCCTCTTTGCTTATTCTTGTGTTAACAGGAATAGAGCAAAGACGGAAAAACAATAATTTTTTTCATTTTTCTTCTTTTGAGTAAGACTGAAATGTTGAAAACATCATTCCAGAGGTCCTAAAAACATCATGCATTGTAGGACTCACAAATGTGGGAAATAGTTTAATAAGTAAGAAACTATGGAAATCGTTTTCTTACTATTCAACAATTTCATTTTAAGAAAAGATTGAATGAGAAAATATGGAAAATCGTTTTCTTATTCTTTTTTCAAAATAACTTTTTGATTGGGTAACATGCCCCATTTCAAAATAACTCGAAATAACTATCTCAAGCGAGACAAATCTTTGTTTTAAGAAAAACAATCTGAAGTGAGATAAATTTTTGTTTCAAGTGAAACTGTCTCAAGCGAGACAAAATTTGTTTAAGAAAAACAATCTCAAGTGAGATAAAATTCTGTTTCGAGTGAAACTGTCTCAAGCGAGACAAAATTTATTTTAAGAAAAACAATCTCAAGTGAGATAAAGTTTTGTTTCGAGTGAAACTGTCTCAAGCGAGACAAATTTGTTTTAAGAAAAACAATCTCAAGTGAGATAAAGTTCTGTTTCGAGTGAAACTGTCTCAAACGAGACAAATTTGTTTTAAGAAAAATAATCTCAAGTGAGATAAAGTTATGTTTCGAGTGAAACTGTCTCAAGCGAGACAATTTTGTTTTAAGAAAAACAATCTCAAGTGAGATAAAGTTATGTTTCGAGTGAAACTGTCTCAAGCGAGACAAATTTGTTTTAAGAAAAACAATCTCAAGTGAGATAAAGTTCTGTTTCGAGTGAAACTGTCTCAAGCGAGACAAATTTATTTTAATAAAAACAATCTCAAGTGAGATAAAGTTCTGTTTCGAGTGAAACTGTCTCAAGCGAGACAAATTTGTTTTAAGAAAAACAATCTCAAGTGAGATAAATTTTATTTGAAAACATCCTGCACTGTAGGTCTTATGGATGTGGGAAATAGTTTACTAAGTAAAAAAACTAAGAAAATCGTTTTCTTACTTTTCAACAATTTCATTTTAGAAAAGATAAAATGAGAAACTATGGAAATCGTTTTCTCATTATTTTTCAAAATATCATGTTGATTGGGTAACATGACCCAATCTCAAGATAATGCTGTTTGGAAATAGTTTACTAAGTAAAAAAACTAAGAAAATCGTTTTCTTACTTTTCAACAATTTCATTTTAGAAAAGATAAAATGAGAAACTATGGAAATTGTTTTCTCATTATTTTTCAAAATATCATGTTGATTGGGTAACATGACCCAATATCAAGATAATGCTCATTCTTGTGGATTACGTCCATATATTCTTCAGATGTTTGCATGATTCCTGTATTTGCGGTTTTGAATTCTACCTTCTTCTTGTAAGGTATTTTCATCATGAATCTTCTTGTTCTTACGAAGATCTGTAAAACTTTATGTTTGAATGCACTCAGATGTATCAATGTAATGCATTATCTATTGTGCAAATGATGTTCTTATGAATGCATAAATGTTGATGCAATCTTAATTTGACTTCAAAGTGGTGAACTTGGTCTTCCTTCACTTGATCATTTATTTCTAGGGTTACTTTGGATATCAGTGTAGCAACCTATGCCATCAAGCTTGCATTTTGCAGAATCATCTGATCAACTTGTATCTTGGTGCCTTATTTGCTTCATTTAAGTCTCAGAAGAAATGTTTCATTTGTGGAACTCTTGTTGTAATCAGAACTAGGATTTTGATGCCCTATTTTGTCTTTGGTAACACCGGTTTTCTTTGTCTGGACTTGTGTAGAAATCTAATAAAGCTTTCATCTTTGAAAAGAGAATCTATCATCTTTAAAAAGAGAATCTATCATCTTTGAAGAGTGTAGATGTAGAGATGTTTGACTCAGTAGGGATTAATTAGGAGAGTAGAGTCTGATCCAATTTAACTCTTGAAACACATCACAAGGAAACTTTATTCCAATTTCTTTCATGTCTTCACATCTAATCAGATCTCGAATAAGGCAACTTGGACCATATCATGTCGAGATGCTTAACAACAACCTGTCGTTCAACCTTAGTTGGCTCCACTAGTTTCTTGTTGTCAAAATTTCAGCTCTCCTTCTGTGGAAAGAAATCTTCATCATATCTCACTTCTAATCTTGGGGTTGAAGAAGAAAAACTTCATCTTGGATCAATAAATGGAAACCATATGATTGCAACATTGGTTCAGCACCATAATCACTGGTTCGTAAAACATTTGACAATACATTCATCTTTTCCTGTGGTTTCTGTCGAGATGTAAAACATTTGAAAACACCTTCTTCCTTTCTTGTGGCTTCTGCCCGGATTTCTGGTCAGGGAGGCTCTTTCGTAGCGCTTAGAACTTTCTTATAACGTCACAAGACCACTTGAGAACAAAACTCAATAGGAATAAAAATGAGATGCTGGTGTGACCAAAAAGTTGATCAAATTCTCAAGATATGCTAGTGATGAATTGAAAAAGAGATACCAATTGATCTTGATATTGTCGCAGGCAAGGGTAAGTGTGATATTGATCACTTTTTCTTCTGTAATGAGCGTTGTAGGAATTAGAAACGCATAAGCTATAGGGGCCATGTCCAGAAAGAGGTTCATGTAATTCTTGCCGCTGGGGATGAAACACACATGATAAACCAAAATAGATGAAAACTCAGTTCACCCTGGCTGGTAATAATAATCCCAATAACAACGTGAATAACATTAATGTAAGTGAGTCGAGTATTCCTTTCCAATGTCATCAAATAAGTAAAAAACTGATGTGAAAAACAGCTTCATAATCCCAACAGTATGGTTGAAACTAACTGCCATGAACCTCAAAGAAATATTTTCAATTATCACTGATACAGAGAATCCAAAATTCAAAGCTGAGATCTTGAGGAACTGAACCCTGGATTGAGTAGTCTCCTGGGGATCATTTTTATTCATGCAACTGTGATGTAGCTTAACAAAGATCACGCTATCATGTGACACATGGT